AAGAGGAGTATCGAGCGCATTGCTACAAAGGATCCAAAGAAAGTAGAATTAAAGAAAGTTTCTCCACATTAATCCTAAGCAGATTATGATCGGTCAAAAATTTCTAGGTCCTTTAATTAATATTGTTTCCAACAAGATGAAATGATCACAATAAAGGTATTTTGCTCCAATTTGGAGAGATGGAAATTACTCACAATCAGATAAAAGCGCGAAGGAAACAGAAAATCAATTTAATATTAATGAAACTAGGTCAACATAATAAATTGAACAGCTCTCTAGGCTGTTTTAATATTTAAATATTACGTATTGGAATCGCTAGAAGGTAATGGATTCGATTTATATTCTCTGGTGGAATTGTACAGTTAGTTTTTTTTTGAACATTGATGCCTAGTTTGATGTATACAATCAGGTGTTGCTTCCATATTAAATTTGCATTGCTGACACTCCTACTTTTGTGTGGGATGGAGGCGTATCGACATGATCTATTGATTCCGACTTGGAACGTAAAAACTCTGTATAAACTGGGTGCATTTCAAAATCATAATAAGAGAAACTGACAAATATGCACTACAAGATTTGGAACGTTACAGAAACAAAATCATAAAATCTTCTATAGTTATAGCCCATCTAAACAGACTGGGCACAGGCTAAAAGAATAAAATAAAAACCTTCATATAAGGCATATAAGGTGCAATAAATGTGTAAATACGACATGGAATCAAAAGCAGACGACGTGCAAACTTCAACTCTGGCCACAACTTGGTATTGTGTAGGCTCAGAGCAAGAATTGGGAATGTCAAAAAGATAAAACTTGATACTACGAATTCATCAAATTTTTACATTATCCTATTTTTCTCGATATTAATGCATCTGAGAATAAAACTGAAGGAGAGCGATATTGGTAAGAATAAAATTTGCTACAACTTTTGTTCTAAATATTTTTTTATAAAATGCTCCGATTTCCGAGTATTACCATTAACTACTTGTAAAACTACGAACACATCAAATTTTCACATTTTCGCATTTTTCTCGATATCTATGTATCTGAGAGCAAAAGTAAAAGAGAGCGATATTGGTAACAATGAAATTTGCTACAACTTTTGTTCTAAATATTTTTTTGTAAAATGCTCCAATTTCCGAGTATTACCATTACCTACTTGTAAAACTACGAACACTTCAAATTTTCACATTTTTTTCAATATCTATGTATCTGAGAACAAAACTGAAGGAGAGCAATATTGCTTAGAATAGAATTTGCTACAACTATTGTTCTAAACATTCTTTTGTAAAATGCTCCAATTTCCGAGTATTACCATTAACTACTTGTAAAACTACGAACACATCAAATTTTCACATTTTCGCAATTTTCTCGATATCTATGTATCTGAGAACAAAACTGATGGAGAGCAATATTGCTTAGAATAGAATTTGCTACAACTATTGTTCTAAAAATTTTTTTGTAAAATGCTCCAATTTCCGAGTATTACTACCATTAATACTTGTAAAACTACGAACACATCAAATTTTCACATTTTCGCAATTTTCTCGATATCTATGTATCTGAGAACAAAACTGATGGAGAGCAATATTGCTTAGAATAGAATTTGCTACAACTATTGTTCTAAAAATTTTTTTGTAAAATGCTCCAATTTCCGAGTATTACTACCATTAATACTTGTAAAACTACGAACACATCAAATTTTCACATTTTCGCAATTTTCTCGATATCTATGTATCTGAGAACAAAACTGAAGGAGAGCAATATTGCTTAGAATAGAATTTGCTACAACTATTGTTCTAAAATTTTTTTTGTAAAATGCTCCAATTTCCGAGTATTACCATTAACTACTTGTAAGACTACGAACACTTCAAATTTTCACATTTTTACATTTTTCTCGATATTAACGCATGTGACAACAAAACTGAAAGAGAGCAATTTTGTTAAGAATAGAACTTGCTACAACTATTGTTCTAAATATTCTTTTGTAAAATGCTCCGATTTCCGAGTATTATCATTACCTACTTGTAAAACTACGAACACATAAAACTTTCACATTTTTCTCGATATCTATGTATCTAAGAATAAAACTGAAGGAGAGCAATATTGCTAAGAATAGAATTTGCTACAACTATTCATCTAAAAATTCTTTTGTAAAATGCTCCGATTTCCGAGTATTACCATTAACTACATGTAAAACTACGAAATTCAAAATAGTTTTATATTTTCGTATTTTTCTCTATATTGATGCATCTAAGAGCAAAAGTGCAACAGAGCAATATCGCTAAGAATAAAATTTGCTACAAGTTTCGTTGCAAAAGCTTTTTTGTAATATGCTCCGTTTCCCGTGTGCTACCATTACCAACTAGAAAAAGCAACAAATTCATCCAATTTACACATTTCTGTATTTTGCTCGATATTGACGAATCTAAGAGTAAAAATTAAAGAGAGAAGAATAAGATTAGCTACAACTTTCGTTGCAAAAGTTTTTTTATAACATGCTTAGTATTCCAAGTATTACCATTAACAATTTTTAAAACAACAAAATTCATCAAATTTTAATATTTTCGTATTTTTCTTGATATTGATGCATCTGAGAGCAAATATACAAGAGAGCAATATTGTTAAGGATGAAATTTGCTACAACTTTCGATTCAAAAGTTTTTTTATAACATAATCCGATTCTTGAGTGTTACCATTAAGAGCTTGGAAAAGAACAAAATTCATCAAATTTTCTTATTTTTGTATTTATCTCATTATTGACGCATCTAAAAGCAATAATGTTGAAGAGCAATATTATTAAGAATGAAATTTGCTACAACTTTCGTTCCAAAAATTTTTTTATATCATGATCCGATTCCTGAGTGCTACCATTATCTGCTACTATAACACAACGAATTTTTAGAATTTTCATATTTTTATCGATATTGACGAACCTGAGAGCAAATATACAACAGAGCAATATTGTTAAGAATAAAATTTGCTACAACTTTTGTTATAAAAGTTTTTTAATAACATGCTCCGATTCTCAAATGTTACCATTAAGAGCAAGTAAAACAACAAATTCATCAAATTTTCATATTTTCGTATTTTTCTCGATATTGACTTATCTGAGAGCAATAGTATAACAGAGCAATATTGTTAAGAATAAAATTTGCTACAACTTTTGTTCTAAAAGTTTTTTGTAACATGCTTCGATTCCCGAATGCTACCATTAGCTAATAGTAAAACAAGGAAATTCATGAAATTTATAAATTTTCGTATTTTTCTCAATATCGACGCATGTGAGAGCAAATAAACAAGAGAGCAATATTGTTAAGAATAAGGTTAGCTACAACTTTCGTTGCAAAAATTTTTTTATAACATGCTCCGATTCCCGAGTACTACCTTTCACAAGTTGTAAAACAACGAAATTCATCAAATTTTCATATTTTTGTATTTTTCTCATTATTGACGCATCTAAGAGCAAAAGTAAAAGAAAGCAATATTGGTAAGAATAAAATTTGCTACCACTTTTGTTATAAAAGTTTTTTCATAAAATGCTCCGATTCTCGAGTACTACCATTATCTGCTAGTAACACAACGATTTCTTAAAATTTTCAAATTTTTGTATTTATCTCGTTACTGACGCATCTAAGAGCAAAAGTGCAAGAGAGCAATATTGTTAACAATAAAATTTGCAACAGGTTTTGTTTTAAAAGTTTTTTTATAAAATGCTCCGATTCTCGAGCGCTACCATTATCTGCTAGTAACACAACGATTTCTTAAAATTTTCATATTTTCGTATTTATCTCGTTACTGACGCATCTAAGAGCAAAAGTGCAAGAGAGCAATATTGTTAACAATAAAATTTGCAACAATTTTTGTTATAAAAGTTTTCTTATAGCAAGCTCCGATTCTCAAGTGTTACCTTTAATAACTTGAAAGAGCAACAAATTCATCAAATTTTCATATTTTCGTATTTTTCTCGATATCTGTGCATCTGAGAGTAAAAGTGCAAGAGAGCAATATTGTTAAGAATAAAATTTGCTACAACTTTTGTTCTAAAAGTATTTTTGTAACATGCTTCGATTCCCGAATGCTACCATTAGCTAATAGTAAAACAAGGAAATTCATGCAATTTTTAAATTTTCGTATTTTTCTCAATATTGACGCAGCTGAGAGCAAACACACAACAGAGCAATATTGTTAAGAATAAAATTTGCTACAACTTTTGTTATAAAAGTTTTTTGGTAACATGCTCCGATTCTCAAATGTTACCATTAAGACCAAGTAAAACAACAAATTCATCAAATTTTCATATTTTTATCGATTTTGACGCATCTGAGAGCAAAAATACAAGAAAGCAATATTGTTAAGAATAAGATTTTCCACAACTTTCGTTCCAAAAGTTTTTTTGTAATATGATCCGATTTCCAAATGTTACCATAGTTCTAGGTCTAGTGTTAGTTATCAATGCCTGTACTATTGAGCTATGTTACATTTTATGTGGGGCAGTTTGTAAACGTTGTTAGAGCTCAAAAATTAATCGATTTCACTTTATGTTTTTACTAGTAAGTCGATTTACTTAATTGCTCCCATTCCTTGTTATACATTTTTGCTCGCTTTTAAAACATTTCTTTGCCACACAGAAATAATAAATAACCGTTCCACATATTCTTTTTTTCCTTTTTTTTTTCTCATTCGAGCATAATGAAAAGAACACAAAACGGAATAATACATGTCCTATAAACGGCGCCAAAAAGAAAAGAACTTCTAAAACGTAAAACTTCTTGGGATGATTAAAACCCATAAGAATGGAAGGAGTAGTTAGAAAATCTTTTTTTGGGTACAAAATCGATGTAATAATTTCTGATAAAACGACGAACCATCACGTTAACTCGATCGATTTCGTTCTTTGTTACCAGAAAAATAAAAATTCGTGTCGCACGCAGTTTCTAAAATTGCACATCGCCATGCAAACTTTTTATTTTAAAACAAATTTGTTTCTATTTCCTTTTAGATGGCACAATAATTGGTACGAAAATGTTTGGAGATCGGTGTAATGCGACTTGGGAATGCGGATTTAATGGATCGATTTGCGTCGGAGGACATTGCCAGTGCACTGAAGATATGCCCGTAACCAATCATCTAAATAAATGCGGAAAAGGTAATTTCAAATCATCATTTTTCAACAAAAAAAAAAAAAAATAACCAAAGTTCCGTTTCTAAACTGGAATTATAATTTCCGTTTGAGCTTTTGTGCGGGGAAATTGAAGCTTTGCGTTTGAAAAGATCTCCCTTTTATCGCTAAAGTCTTTTTTTTTGGGATTTTTCACCCCATTTTTTTTCATATTTTCCTATTTTTCTCGATATCTATTCATCTGAGAGAAAAAGTGCAAGAGAGCAATATTGTTAAGAATAAAATTTGCTACAACTTCTGTTCTAAACGTTTTTTTGTAACATGCTCCGATTCAAAAATATTACCATCACCTACTTTAAACAACGAAATTTATCAAATTTTCATATTTTCCTATTTTTCTCTATATCTATGTGTCTGGGAGCAAAAGTACAAGAGAGCAATATCGTTAAGACTAAAATTTGCTACAACTTTTGTTCTAAAAGTTTTTTTGTAACATCCTCCGATTCAAAAATACTACCATCACCTACTTTAAACAACGAAATTCCTAAAATTTTCATATTTTCCTATTTTTCTCGATATCTATTCTTCTGAGAGGAAAAGTGCAAGAGAACAATATTGTTAAAAATAAAATTTGCTACAACTTTTGTTCTAAAAGTTTTTTTGTAACATGCTCCGATTCAAAAATGTTACCATCACCTACTTTAAACAACGAAAGTCATAAAATTTTCATATTTTCCTATTTTTCTGGATATCTATGCATCTGAGAACAAAAGTGCAAGAGAGCAATATTGTTAAGAATAAAATTTGCTACAACTTTTGTTCTCAAATTTTTTTGATAACATGCTCCGATTCCCAAATGCTACCATTAGCTAATAGTAAAAAAGGAAATTCATAAAATTTTTAAATTTTCGTATTTTTCTCAATATTGACGCATCTGAGAGCAAAAATACAAGAGAGCAATATTGTTAAGAATAAAATTTGCTACAACTTTTGTTCTAAAAGTTTTTTTGTAACATGCTCCGATTCCCGAGTGTTACCATTGACGTGTAAAACATCAAAACCCATCAAATTTTCTATTTTCGAAATTTTCATGATATTGACGCATCTAAGAGCAAAAGTGAAAGAGAGCAATATTGTTAAGAATAAAATTTGCTACAACTTTTGTTCTCAAATTTTTTTGATAACATGCTCCGATTCCCAAATGCTACCATTAGCTAATAGTAAAAAAGGAAATTCATCAAATTTTTAAATTTTCGTATTTTTCTCAATATTGACGCATCTGAGAGTAAATATACAAGAGAGCAATATTGTTAAGAATAAAATTTGCTACAACTTTTGTTCTAAAAGTTTTTTTGTAACATGCTCCAATTCCAAAATATTACCATCACCTACTTCAAACAACGAAATTCATCAAATTTTCATATTTTCCTATTTTTCTCTATATCTATGTGTCTAGGAGCAAAAGTACAAGAGAGCAATATTGTTAAGACTAAAATTTGCTACAACTTTTGTTCTAAAAGTTTTTTTGTAACATGCTCCAATTCAAAAATATTACCATCACCTACTTCAAATAACGAAATTCATCAAATTGTCATATTTTCCTATTTTTCTCGATATCTATTCATCTGAGAGCAAAAGTGCAAGAGAACAATATTGTTAAGAATAAAATTTGTTACAACTTTTGTTTTAAAAGTTTTTTTGTAACATACTCCGATTCAAAAATATTACCATCACCTACTTCAAACAACGAAATTCATCAAATTTTCATATTTTCCTATTTTTCTCGATATCTATTCATCTGACAGTAAAAGTGCAAGAGAGCAATATTGTTAAGAATAAAATTTGCTACAACTTTTGTTCTAAAAGTTTTTTTGTAACATGCTCCGATTCAAGAATATTACCATCACCTACTTTAAACAACGAAATTCATCAAATTTTCATATTTTCCTATTTTTCTCTATATCTATGTGTCTGGGAGCAAAAGTGCAAGTGAGCAATATTGTTTACAATAAAATTTGTTACAACTTTTGTTACAAATAAAGTTGGCCGAGGAGAAGATATTGTTAATGTAGATGACTAGATACTGCTAATAAAATACTAAGATATGCTTGCATAATACTAGCTACCAAATATTACTGACAATAGATAAGATATTGCTGAGAGAGGACTATACAGGTAGAAGATTAGATGCTGCTTGTAGAGGTAACAGGCAATTATACATCATATACTGCTGGTAGAGGATTGTAAACTGACAATAGACGACTAAGTAGTGCTGGCAGAAGATTAGGTATTGCTGCCAGAAGACTACATACTGCAGGCAGAAAATTAGTTGCTGCTTATAGATGACCTAATCTAACAGGCAAAACAAATAACGAGTTTTGACATAATCAAAAATGATCTTAAACGATTTCTCATGATAACACTGCACAGTATGCCAAATTTTATCTTTCTAAGACAAACCTTTTTTATCTTAGCCATTTATTGCTTTAGACCAAATATTTTTGCACGAATCGTTTTTGTAGTTAAAATTATATTGTATTACAATTAAACAATATTCAAATTAAAATTATGCCACAACTTACAGAAACACCCTGTATACAGGTTCGTGAAAACTTTTTCAGGTTCCACTATTCGTAGAGGTTTGAAATTTTGGTAGTATGGGTTGTTCATTCGGAACTTTCGATCTAAAATATTTTCAAGATGGCCGCCACTTCCGGTCTACTGGAAGTAGACTATGACTCGTCGTTTTAAATGGAATGGTTTAGTTTTTATTGCAGGTTTTAATTGTACCCAGCGTTGCCAAGCTATGCCGATCAAATCAACCAGAAATTGTTGCAAATTTTTAATGTTAACAATATTGCTCTGTTGTACTTTTACTCTTAGATGCGTCAATATTGAGATAAATACGAAAATATGAAAATTTGTTAGTTTCAAGTTATTATAGGTAATACTTGGGAATTGGAGCATGCTATAAGAAAACTTTTATAACAAAAGTTGTAGCAAATTTTATTCTTAACAATATTGCTCTCTTGCACTTTTACTCTCAGATGAATAGATATCGAGAAAAATAGGAAAATATGAAAATTTGATGAATTTCGTTGTTTAAAGTAGGTGATGGTAATATTTTTGAATCGGAGTATGTTACAAAAAAACTTTTAGAACAAAAGTTGTAGCAAATTTTTTTCTTAACAATATTGCTCCCTTACACTTTTGCTCCCAGACACATAGATATCGAGAAAAATAGGAAAATATGAAAATTTGATGAATTTCGTTGTTTGAAGTAGGTGATGGTAATATTTTTGAATCGGAGTATGTTACAAAAAAACTTTTAGAACAAAAGTTGTAGCAAATGTTATTCTTAGCAATATTGCTCTCTTGCACTTTTGCTCTAAGATGAATAGATATCCAGAAATATAGGAAAATTTAAAAATTTGATGATTTTTATTGTTTTAACGAGGTAATGGTAATATTTTTGAATCGGAGCATATGATAAAGAAACTTTTAGAACAAAAGTTGTAGCAAATTTTATTCTTAGCAATATTGCTCTCGTGCACTTTTGTTCTAAGATGAATAGATATCGTGAAAAATAGGAAAATTTAAAAATTTGATGAATTTTATTGTTTTACGGAGGTAATGGTAATATTTTTGAATCGGAGCATGTGATAAAGAAACTTTTAGAACAAAAGTTGTAACAAATTTTATTCTTAGCAATATTGCTCTCTCGCACTTTTGCTCTAAGATGAATAGATATCGAGAAAAATAGGAAAATTTAAAAATTTGATGAATTTTATTGTTTTAACGAGGTAATGGTAATATTTTTGAATCGGAGCATGTGATAAGAAAACTTTTAGAACAAAAGTTGTAGCAAATTTTATTCTTAGCAATATTGCTCTCTTGTACTTTTGCTCTTAGATGCGTCAATATCGAGATAGATACGAAAATATGGAAATTTTATGAATTTGTTGCTCTTTCAAGTTGTCCAATTTTTTGTAAGATAGATATTTGCGACTAACTTCTGTTTCCATCCCCTGCCAGTATAAATATACTACACACCAATAATTAAAAACACGTGCTTATAATTATCAATTTCTTCCCCAGCAATTAAGTGTATTTTTTTAAGTACGAAATCGAGTTTGAATCCTCTTCTCAATTTATCAATTAGATTAGATTATAGGCATAGCTATTTTAACTGTTAATTTAAGATATATTTTTTTTAATTTTAACTTTTTCGCTTATAGCTAACCCAAATTAACAAACTTTATTAACAAGCTGAAATGAAATTATTTTTTACCGACATTTCTTGTTTTTCCTACATTTTCGGTCTATTCGGCCAATTACAGTACTGACACTGCTGCAAACGGAAGTGCTTTGAAATTGACCGGTTCGTTAGATTCAACCTAGTTGAACAGTTTTGCGTGCGGATTTGTTCATTCGACAGTTTTCAGTATCCGTGTTAATGCTAATGAAGAAAAAAAATCCTGTTTTGCGATACTCTTTTGGATTGTTGAGCACTATCTATCTCTTGGAATGAATTGAAAAGTATTTGTAACTGTATTATTTTAATGTAATAAACCTTAACATAATGGTAAATATATTTGAGTATTTTGAGTATAAAAGTATTTTTGTAACATGCTCAGATCCCCTAATGTCACCATCAACAACTTAAAAAAGCAACAAATTCATAAAATTTTCACCATTTCGAATTTTTATCGATATCTATTTATCTGGGAGCAAAAGTGTAAGAGAGACTATTGTTAAGAATAAAATTTGCTACAACTCTTGTTCGAAAAGTTTTTTTGTAACATCCTCCGATTCAAAAATGTTACCATCACCTACTTTAAACAACGAAATTCATTAAATTTTCATATTTTCCTATTTTTCTCGATATCTGTTCATCTGAGAGCAAAAGTGCAAGAGAGCAATATTGTTAAGAATAAAATTTGCTACAACTTTTGTTCTAAAAGTTTTTTTGTAACATCCTCCGATTCAAAAATACTACCATCAACTACTTTAAACAACGAAATTCAGAAAATTTTCATATTTTCCTATTTTTCTCGATATCTATGTATCTGGGAGGAAAAGTGCAAGAGAGCAATATTGCTAAGAATAAAATTTGCTACAACTTTTGTTCATCCAAAAAGTTTTTTTGTAACATCCTCCGATTCAAAAATATTACCATCTTTAAACAACGGACTATTACTACATTAGCTCGGCTACCATCTCAGTCGCCCATCAAAGATAAAACTAGGTTGCCTCGATGTTCAACAGACATTTATGATAGTATAGGTAGTTTCCGATGACCTCATTAAAGACAAAACTTAGTTACTTCAGTATAAACCGTCTCATTGTACTGCCTCGGCTATCATCTTTGTCACTCTTTAAAAACTAAACTTGATTGCCTCAGTATACAACATTTATTTGCATAAGTCCAAAACGTCTCAATCAGCAAAACTGTTTTAACAATCCATGCTGGTCAAATGCAGCTAAATTTGTCCATTTGTTGATTGGATCATGTCTAGATATTACATGATACTTGGAATTGTACTTTGCCCTTCGAAATGTCATAGGTCTCCTCGCGCGACACTGTATTTCATATTTTCGAATTTTTCTCGATATCTATGTGTCTGAGAGCAAAAGTACAAGAGAGTAATATTGTTTACAACAAAATTTGTAACAACTTTTGTCTTAAAAGTATTTTTGTAGCATACTCCGATTCCTTAATATCACCATCAACCATTTAAAAACAACAAATTCATCAAATTTTCACAATTTCGAATTTTTCTCGTTATCTATGTATCTGGGAGCAAAAGTGTAAGAGAGACTATTGTTAAAAATAAAATTTACTACAACTTTTGTATAAAAACTTTTTTTCTAAAACGTTCCGAATTTCTCATTCATCCTCTACGAACAAGATGCAAAACCACGATTTCACCTAAATGTCACCTTTTCAAATTTGTCTCGATTTCTATGCATCTGAGAGTAAAAGTGTAAAAGAGCAATATTGTTAAGAATGAAATTTGCTACAACTTTTGTATTAAAACTTTTTTTCTAAAACGTTCCGAATTTCTCATTTTTCCTCTACCAACAAGATGCAAAACCACGATTTTATCAAATTTTCATCTTTTCGAATTTTTCTCGATTTCTATGCATCTGAGAGTAAAAGTGTAAAAGAGCAATATTGTTAAGAATGAAATTTGCTACAACTTTTGTATTAAAACTTTTTTTCTAAAACGTTCCGAATTTCTCATTTTTCCTCTACCAACAAGATGCAAAACCACGATTTTATCAAATTTTCATCTTTTCGAATTTTTCTCGATTTCTATGCATCTGAGAGTAAAAGTGTAAAAGAGCAATATTGTTAAGAATGAAGTTTGCTATAACTTTTGTATTAAAACTTTTTTTCTAAAACGTTCCAAATTTCTCATTCATCCTCTACCAACAAGATGCAAAACCACGATTTTATCAAATTTTCACCTTTTCGAATTTTTCTCGATTTCTATGCATCTGAGAGTAAAAGTGTAAAACAGCAATATTGTTAAGAATAAAATTTGCTACAACTTTTGTATTAAAACTTTTTTTCTAAAACGTTCCGAATTTCTGATTCATCCTATACGAACAAGATGTAAAACCACGATTTAATCAAATTGTCACCTTTTCGAATTTTTCTCGATTTCTATGCATCAAAGAGTAAAAGTGTAAAAGAGCAAATTTGTTAAGAATGAAATTTGCTACAACTTTTATACTAAAACTTTTTTTCTAAAACGTTCCGAATTTCCTATTCATCCTCTATTAACAAGATGCAAAACCACGATTTCATCTAATTGTCACCTTTTCGATTTTTTTTCGATTTCTATGCATCAGAGAGTAAAAGTGTAAAAGAGCAATATTGTTAAGAATGAAATTTGCAACAACTTTTGTATTAAAACTTTTTTTATAAAACGCTCCGATTCCCCAATGCTACATTATCTGGTAGCAACACAACAAATTTTTAAAATTTTCATATTTTCGCATTTTTCTCGATATTGACGCATCTGAGAGCAAAAGTAAAAGAGAGCAATATTGGTAAGAATCAAATTTGCTACAACTTTTGTTTTAAAAGTTTTTTTATAAAATGCTCCGATTCCCCAGTGCTACCATTATCTTGTAGTAATACAACGAATTCTTAAAATTTTCATATTTTCGCATTTTTCTCGATGTTGACACATCTGAGAGCAAAAGTAAAAGAGAGCAATATTGGTAAGAATCAAATTTGCTACAAGTTTCGTCCGAAAAGTTTTTTTCTCACACGCTCCGATTCCCCAGTGTCACCCACCATTGAATCTATTTAACCATCTATGGGTTGAAAGTGATATGGCAGAGTTTTCAAAACCGCCAGGTTAGAAGTATTGGGTCTACATTAAGTACTCATTTTTATGCAAGATATGATTTAACCACGTCTTTTTTTCCTTTTAGAGGCCAAAGTCAACGAATCATGCTCATTTAACGAACAATGCGAGGAGGTGACACCCCAAACGGAATGTCGCGACGGCGTTTGCGTCTGCATGTTCGAAATGCAAGCTATCCTTCAACAAGACGGGACCTACATCTGTCAAGGTTTTAACCACAAAATAAACAACAACACCATCTTAATAATAACACAATTCTTTTAGCCATAAAGAACGTAGTTACTCCAGTAAGATACGTCGATCCGACAATGATAGGGATTTTGGTGGCGATGTTTTTGATGTTTATCACGATTTGCGTCGTGTTGAGATTGTTTAGCAGAGCTCGCTGGCAAGAGAATCGCACGATATTTAACACGCCCAATCCGAGGTTGATGAACGTGTCGTTGTTGAGGGAGAGCAAGTTGGAGAGGAGAGGGTCTAAAAGCAGCGCGAGAGGACCTAGTCGACAACCGAGTATGGTTTCGGTGAGGGCTGTTTCGCCAAATTCGCAAGGTAATTGGGCTAAAAATGTTTTAGGGCGAAATTTAATTTCCCAATTAATGCGGGATTTCAATTCGCCGATTATGAGTTGAGTGTATTGATTGGTGCGCTTTATTTCGCTCTGAAACGTTTTATTTCTCGTTTTGATGCAAAAATTAAGCACTAAATTTATTTTAGCTTTTATTTTGTGATGTAGTTGAAAAAATATTAATAATCAACTCAAAAATTATAATCGATAAGACGGAACTTTTGTAACAAAACTTTCATACAAAAGTTGTTCTAAATTAACTTCTAAAACGATTTTCTCAATAAAAATATATATAAATATATATATAAATTTTTTTTTTGAGATTATTGATCAAATCAAAAAATGTTATTAACAAAATTTGTTTAGAATTACTTCAGGAACAGTGTTTGTTAGTAAAATTTTTTGCTAACTTGAAATTTTAATTTCCCACTGAATAGTATAAAATTAATATTTTTGAGGTTATATCCTTATTGTTGATTTAATCAAAAAATGTTGTTAACAAAATTTGTTCAGAATTACTTTAGGAACACTGTTTGTTAATAAAATTTTTTGCTAACTTGAAATTTTAATTTCCCTCTGAATAGTATGCTATCAAAATTAATTATCTCAATAATTATTGTTTTTATCAAAAAATGTTTTAAATAAAATTTGTTTCAATTTCGATTTTGAATCAATTATCTTAATAAAAAATTTTTACATCTCTATTAATTAAGCATCTAAGTATAATTATGTATAAAAACGGAAAAATTATTATTTTGAGGTTATCTCCTTAATTATTGATTAAATCAAAAAAAATTGTTGACAAAGTTTGTTTAGAATTGTTTCAGGAACAATTTTTGTTAACACAATTTTTTTCTAACTTGAAATTTTAATTTCCCACTGAATAGTATGCTACAAAAATTAATATTTTTGAGGTTATATCCTTATTGTTGATTTAATCAAAAAATGTTGTTAACAAAATTTGTTTAGAATTACTTCAGGAACAGTGTTTGTTAATACAATTTTTTGCTAACTTGAAATTTTAATTTCCCTCTGAATAGTATGCTATCAAAATTAATTATCTCAATAATTATTGTTTTTATCAAAAAATGTTTTAAATAAAATTTGTTTCAATTTCGATTTTGAATCAATTATCTTAATAAAAAATTTTTACATCTCTATTAATTAAGCATCTAAGTATAATTATGTATAAAAACGGAAAAATTATTATTTTGAGGTTATCTCCTTAATTATTGATTAAATCAAAAAAAATTGTTGACAAAGTTTGTTTAGAATTGTTTCAGGAACAATTTTTGTTAACACAATTTTTTTTTAACTTGAAATTTTAATTTCCCACTGAATAGTATGCTATAAAAATTAATATTTTTGAGGTTATATCCTTAATGTTGATTTAATCAAAAAATGTTGTTAACAAAATTTGTTTAGAATTACTTCCGCAACAGTGTTTGTTAATAAAATTTTTTGTTAACTTGAAATTTTAATTTCCCACTGAATAGTATGCTGTTCTTTTAATCAAGATTTTCTCAACGAACGCCGCTGAGAAAGAGTGGAGGGAGGAAATCGTATTGTTTTGTTACAAAAGTTCCGTACCCTGGTTATTACCAACCTAGGGAAGTAGTATTGAAGAATTTTGCTATTTTGACACTCTTATACCCAGTAAACAAAGTTGCGTTTCAGAAACATTTCTGATACATAGTATTGAAACATGAAATGTTTCTTCGACATATTTCTGAAACATAGTTGAAACGTGCCTGAAACTGCTAATGTCCGGCCCTTCTTATGTTTCATTAAAACGTTTCTATTGAAATGTTTCTGCAACATACAGGTGACAACGTTTATGAATCTACGAAAATGTCTCCTAGAGATATTCAGCTTTAATTTTTTTCTTTCCATCTTATCTCACATCACACGAACGTAAAACTATATAACTATATAATTTTATATGATAGCAGGAGAAAAACA